TACTTGAGTGTCAGTTCTCCTCTAAACAGGAGCTCCCTGTGAGGCCTAGAGTGGCTGACCTTTGTTTCATCTCTGCCTTCCATCCTCTCACCCACCAAGCCGATTATTGCCTCTATCAATCGATTGGCTCGGATCAAATGGCCCCGGTTGCCTTGTCAACTGAACCTCCCTCTGCTCTCCCTCCACCCTCACAAATACCCATTTCACAGCCTGAACATGGGAGTTTCACACACACACACACACACACAACAGCACACACACATCACCACACACACACCAACTCCCTCCTCATGTCTTTGGTGCAGTAGTCAGAGTTGTTTCCCCCTCCGGCGATCTAATGGATGGCATCACAAACTGTGACAGAGCGGCACCATTTCTACAACTGGGCCTGAACGCTCGCTCGTCCCAGTTCCCCCGGAAGTGGAGCAGAGGAGAAACCATCATGCTTCATTAGCAGCGATGGACCATGACACAATGGACGCTGAGGAAACAGAGCTACAGTCATCTTACAGTGTTCGCATCGTTTTACAGGCTCCGGATACTATAGTGAGTCCTCTAAGTGAAGATACAACATTCAGTAAAGCAATACAAGGTTGTAAAAAGCACAGTGAGGTATACTTACACAGGATAAAGCCCTATAACAATACTAGCGGGGTGCAACAGTGATATTTCAGTAGGAATGACATCATGGAGTCTAAGTTTAGTGGGTGGAACTGGATGTCCTTCATGACCTGACAGATGAGGGAGTTTTTGTGAGGCTGGGGGGGTAAAACGAGACGGTGGAGGGGCTGGATCCCTAAACATTTATAGGAGTAGGGAGTTTGGGGGGTGTAGGGGGGGGAGGAATGACCAATGCTGAGGAACCATTTTGACGCAACTGTTTGTGCACATTTGGTACCCAGACCTAAGCCTCCTCTACTCCCTCACAGAGCCCAGCAGTGGCAGCAACACCAAGCACTGCTGTATTATGTTTGAATGAACATGCACCAAAATGGTTGGTAGAAAAAAAAAGGAAGAGAAAAGGATCCTTCATGGTTTTAAGTCCCAGTTTGCCGCCTCACATGATCACAAATGATATTATAAATTCACGGCTTTCCAGTAGCTCTCCTTCATTAGGAGCAACGAGGAAAGACACACAGTCGCGCCATGTACTCGATGATTAAGAGTTACTGCAGTCAGCTTTGGAGGAATGGCATGATGTTCCGCAGTCCGGGCTGCGGTTTTCACCACCAGCAGGTCACATATTTCCCGTGCGTAATTGCGCGTTTCACCGGCATTTTATTCACAAACATTTCATATCTAACTGGACTCAGCGGTGTCATTATGCAGTCCCACTAATCGGACACTCAGGAGCGGTGAATGTCCTCCACCGTCTGCAGCAGACTGGTGCCAGATGTTCGCTCGGTGTAATCTTTTTTTTGGGGATATTTCTTATTTTTTGGGAAGCGGTGAATGAAGCAGCACATCTTTCCGCCACTCCATGCGCCAAATGCTTGTTAAACCCCATTTAAACGCGTATTTGTAGGTAAAACAGTTCACGTTTGTCTGCACACACCGGGCCCGTTACATTACTTTGGCGTTACAGAATCTCTGAAAGATCAGGGAAACCAAATGTTACATTTCTCGCACGGGTGCTTCAAATGAAAGCTGCACATTTGAATTGCAGCCTGTGGAAGCACACTGATTTTGGAGGATCGCCTTCATTGTGGTGTTTATTGGGAGAGAGGGTGTGTGTGTGTGTGTATGTGTGTGTGTGTGTGTGTGTGTGTGTGATAGCAACAGTGACATATTTGTTGTTTGTCTGGGAGCTGTAAAAAGGCTACACACACACTGAAATACACCCTGCACCGGAGTCTGGACACAAATGTGGCGCTTATTCCTCAGAAACACACACACACACACACACACACACACAGAGTGAACAAACACCCAAAACAACAGTGGCTGTCATAATGTGTATCCCATTAATAATCGGTGTAATAGTAATAATAATATTTAACGACTTGCAGAGAGCAGCGAAGCGCCTTAAAAGACGACGATAATTCAACCATTAATGCGGTTTTAGCAGTTTGTCCCATAACGTTAACAGGTAAACTAAGACTAGTCACACACACACACACACACACACACATACACCGACTCCAATGTCATTTTAACGTCACGCCTGTGGCTCCATACAACGTTAACCGGTTAACGGACACACTGGCTGCCCGTTAACGCCACTTTTAACGCCATTTTATAACGTGTTAATGTTAGCTGGAGTGAATAAAAGAGCTCTTACCCCCATCTTGGCGCAGTCAGTCGGGTCTCCTCAGAGGATGAATCGCTTTTAGGTTTGATTCAATCACAATAGCTGGCTTTAAGGCGTGGGGGGGGGGGGGGGAGAGAGACGGGGCAGGAAACAGTTTCTCGTCTGATAATGAGAGGAAGAAAAAATGTCTCCCTTCAGTTGATAGCTGTTGCTCTACTCACAAAAAAATAACTAGCTAACATAATATCATAATATATATATATATGCTTTTTTTAAGAGGAGCGGGCGTACGGTAACTTGACAAGGCAAAGTTTCATTAAACACCTCGGTAAAAGCTGCACCCTGTTCAAAAGATAATCAAAAGGGATTTTTTTTTTTTTTTTACATTAAATGTAAAAATGACACGCAGCCGTTGGTGTTACGCAGCCAACGTTCTCCCCAAGTGATGCCGGTGGTAAAGTAGAGCCGGAGAGCAGGCTTCTTCTTCGGATGCCGTCTCCCTCCGCGGCTGTGCCCAGTCTGCCGCAGCACTCAGGGTTCCCTGGCGGTCACTACGCGAGTGAAACAAGAACCAATGAGGTTAATGTTCTGGGAGGCTGTTGGCTGCGTTTATGTGATAGAGATTATATTGTGTTGATCAGTGAAGCTTAAAAATACTCTTAGGTTATGCGTACTGTATTAAAATAAGGGTATTAAATAAAATTCCCATGTGGTCATAGAGGGAAACTATTTAATGTGAAATGGATTATGGATATGGCTGAATGAATCTGTTAGGAGGCCCTGGGGCTCCGTCCAATGTGCAATGTGTATTTATCCTGTTGCTCCGAAGTTCCCATTGAGTCCAGTGCAACCATTGCTGCTATGCTGGAACAATTCGTACAATAGTTTCGGTTAGTTTGTAGTAATTTTATTAAAGACAACTTTATTTAAGAATAAACAAAAATAATAAAGCTATTTTTAGACAGGTTCCCTCAAGACACACCATCAAAATGACCAAAGGATGCAGGATCGGCCTTGGTTGATGTTGTACTTTTGATGTTGTACATTCCCCATCTAATTTGCACTTAACCAAATGAGCAAAACCACTAACAAAGTGAACCTGGGGCCATCTGTTGTTGGGGTCCCTGAGGAGTTCGGAGTCCTGGACTTCTTATGACCTAAATCAGTCACAAAATGTGCCAAAAAGAGGCACGCATATGAGGCAGACATAGCTGATCGGTGCTTGCCAGTTCTCAGGCCGTAAAAGTTACTTTGTCTATATGAAGCAGTACAATTGTACACTTTATATCACGTACAAAATTAAGACTTTTTAATGAGATGAAATTTAGCATTTTTTGTATTTCGTATTTGTATTTTTGTATTTGGTCGGCAGCAGCAGTTCTGACTGCAGCTTTTCTGTTGCACATTGACATCAACAATGGCAAAAGGGAAAAAGGCTGTTGCATACTATCCCTCCAAATGCAGGAGAAAGCCTGCACTATTATGGCAGTATCTGTTAAACAGATGTGAGCAGCAGTACGGCACACAAAACATGGGATTGTTTCAAGATCCTTGCAGCCAGTGAGAGAGTAAAAGAACGGGGCTGAAGAGGAGATTAGAGAACAGGGAAATAATCACAGAGAAAATATGAAAAAGAAAGGAGGAATAGAAAGAGTGAGGCACAAAAGACAATACATTGAGCCTAAACCCATTCCTTCACTAGAATAAAGATGACTTACACAGTGTTTATGTGGGATTGAAAGCCCTGGCCAAGGTACACAGTGAAAGCTGCATAAACTGAAAACAGAAATCACATGGAAACAATGTGATGTTCATGGTCGGTCAGGGAAAAGCCACGGCTTCACATGCTTTATTTCTGTATGCACCACCTGCTGTGCAAGATTAGACAATTATACTGCTGTTTTTAGAGCCTTCGAATGGAGCAGACAGCTATGTATATTGTGCAGCTGCCTTATACACACACACGGCACGCACCCATCCCAAATGAGGTGATGAAATAAAATTAAGCGAAATCAACCTCGAACAGTGAGCAAATGAACGAAGGGGAAAGCTTACTATATTGCATAACACATGAGCAAATGAGACAGTGTTTAAGTGAGTGTGTGTGTAAGTGTCTGATTGTCACTATGTGTGTTGCTATGCAAATGTTTGTCTGTGAATTCCAGTGAGACTGTGTGCAGGCTCGTCTGTACGAGTGCATGCCATTGTGTGTGTGTGTGTGTGTGTGTGTGTGTGCTTGTGCTTGGAGGCAGCCACTGTGTGCAGATGGGATCAATACTCCTCTCTATCATAATTGAAGTGTGGCCTGGTTTTTTCACTGCTTTGTCATCCCTCCAGCATCAAGTTTTTTGTTTTGTTTTTTTGGGCAAATTCTAAAAACTGACCTGGAAAAATTTGTGCCCTACTATCTATCTATCCATCTATCTATCTATCATGTTAACCCTTAAAAATCTCTGGTTAGTTTAATGCTACATGATGCTCGCAACTCTTCCTGGGAACTTCGTATTTCTGAAGATTAGCTGCGTAAATAAAATGGAAGCTGCAGGGAAACAGTTTTATTTGCTTTTGATGTTCAGTTTGCAGAGAGAAAAAGAAGATTTTGTGCCACTGTGACAAAATAAATGTGAGGAAGCATTTAGGTACTTAATTGTGTTTTATTAAGTTGTTAAGCCAATTGTAGTTCTCAGTAAAGGACGAGATATGAAGCATGGTTCAGTGGTTTGCTACATTGGCCAGATCAAGCATACCAGTTAGTCAGCTGTGTTGGTGGCGAAATCAAACAAATATGTCCACGAACTATTAAATTCTCTATTTTCTTCAGAGTCTTTTGTTTTTTGGGATTTTGAATCCATAGCCTATCTAGAGAGACTCAAGTAGCCACTGTTGTTATATGCAAAATATAGAGGAAAAGCACCAGGTCAGGACGATTTTTTAATTGGGTATGAAATGGATACACATTTTTACAATTGGATCACTTAAGGCCACCAACGATAAATACAAATATTTAAAAAATAACCATTATCTTGCCCATATCATTTTTTGTCAAAGCCACAGGTAGCCTCTGGAGAGGGACCAAAGAACTGGAGCTGCAGGTTGCCTACACCTGCCCCAAAGGATGGAAATTACTGACTTTCCTCTAGCACCACCAGCAGGTTGACATTTGTGGTTCAGAGCAAAATATAGAAATATTTTTTCTTTGTGAACTTTTCATATTATCATTAGATTAATTTTCCAATATTATGGTTTATGTATTAAACAGTTTGGCTTTCATTACAATGAGTATTACTCACAGTTGACTTGTTTGTATATTATATAATAATAAAAACTCTTACCATTACTTTTCATTGACATGCTCCTAACTTAGAAAGTCAACGCTAATTGCATATCTTGACTTTCTGGTCGGTAACTCTGACTCTGTAGGGTCCTTCTGTCTTTACAATACTGTGTTGCTAACATGAAGGCATGTATAAATCACTTCACAGCTGTATAATAAAGGGAGCCAACATTTAAAAAAATATCAGCATATATCACAACTGATGAACTTGGAGCTAGTTTTAAAAGAAATGTCCGTAAACCACATTATTGGGTTTTTGAAAACAGGGTACATCAACAACATTTGCAGACAATATAACTGTGTGGAGGTTGATGTTTTTGAACAAAGATTGATTTACTAAAGTCATGACAGTAATCTTTCATTACCATAACCATTTAGTTTTGGTTGCCTGAACCTAACCACACATCGTCTGCAGTCACAGCAGATTAAAAAACATACTGTAAACCAGTTTGGACTATACTGATAAATGGCCATTTTTGTGTCCAGTATGAAAACTTGTTTAGGTTCTGATTTCCAGTGTCAAACTTCAGATAACCTGCATGAGAAAGATAGGACAATAGATGACAGCTTGGCTTCTCTCATTCAACAATTCTTGCAACAAAGCAACTACAACTGGGCAATCTCCAGGTTAAAAGGTATTAAGTTTTCTACTTCGAATTGCAATTGAAAACAAATTACACAGTATTTTTCCTCATAAAAACACAAAATACCAATTTTGTTCATTGCACACCACCATCCACCTTTCCACCTTCTGTTAAGCAGAGTGCTGCTGAAAAGCTCAATACATCTTTTCATAAAGGTTGATACAACTAAGTGTATTATAACAGGTTGTATTTTAAGGTTGGAGAGAAAAGCAGAGATAAAGGGGAGAGAGAAAAGAGCAGAACAAAAACATTTCAGAGACCTGGTCACCATAGCGACAACTGTCAGGTAACCGTGGCTCCCTAATCATCCAGCTGACACAAAACAAGAATGAGGAAATTGGAAACGGGATGAATGGTTGGAGAAAAAGGAAAGCAGATGTAAGAACACATATTAAAAAAAAGTAAAAGAAGTCATGTAATTTTGTCCTTAATGTAGAACCTTGCTGATGCTGATTATGGTTTAATTATCTGCAACCGAATGAGTTTAGATTAATGAATGTGAAAAGATCTTGTGATGGAGAAATGCTTTGTCATTGTTCCTATTAGAGACAAATGGGAGCTGCATTTCATTTGTAATCATAGACGGTCTGAGGATTGATTTTTTTATCAGTGTCCAGTATGTCACACAGCGGGACACAGCCACTATCATTGAGAGACACATTCACGCACACACACACACCCACATGCACTCACACGCACCCGCCCACCCACACACACACCCACACACACACACACACACACTCACAAACACAACTGATCAAACTATATATAAGTTCTAAAAGGATTTCCTCATAAAAGCAGCAGATAAATCATACTCAAATCACAGTTTGATGATAGACTGCAGATTTTTCCTTTACTGCTCTATCAGGATTGTGTATTGTTACAACTGAAGCCTGAAAAAGAATGAGAGTTTACAGCCATGCTAGTGGCTCTGTGAGTCTGTACTTTGAGGTAAAAGCTAACACGCTCACAATGATAATACGAATATGCTGATGTTAAACGGGAATGACAGATTTTCACACATCATCAGAGTCTGTTTACAGGTCTTGTTGAGTACTACTGTATATGTGTAAACAGCTGCATAAAGCCTTTTGTGGCTCCAGAGGGAGTTGTGAGAAATGTGCTAGTGCTAAATTACCTCAAGTGATGTCACTTGAGTCAGCAA